TTTCCACACACGTCTGAGGACCAACTGTAGCTCTTTGGCTGAAGACCTTTTTTCTAAGAATATCATACCTTCGCCTCTTTGCGTCTGTGGACAAAGGAAACAACTCGTCATTTTTTTCTCGACTGTCCTCTTTATATAAACATAAGAACTCAGTTGATAAACTGTATAAGCACATACTGTCATGTTTCACTAAAAACCATCCTGTTTGGTAACACGACACTTACAGACTCAGATAATGAGAAAATATTCCTTGCAGTTCATAAATATATTGAAAAATCGAATCGCTTTGACTCTCCAACAATTTTCAACTATCATTAAGGGTTAAATTACAGGTCATTTTTTTCTGTTTTTTTTTCTCCTTCTTTTTCTATCTCATTCTTCTTTCTATCTGAACTGATCAAACTATTATCATTATTAGTCTTATTTTGCTTTTCTTTAAATAATTGATATATCTTATATTTATTTATTCATTTTCGATGCAAGTTGTAACACATCAGCCTTCTAAGTCAAAAAACGACAATTTATTTCGCCTTATTTAGCACATATATTTATTGTATATTGGGAAAAAGACTTCAATAAGCATTAGGTTGCTTCCAGTCTAATCCTTTTCTTGTTTTCATTGTAAATATCATGTATGTAAATATGCTTATGTGAGGAATAAAATATGTTTAAACCAATTTATCTGTTTTTAACAGTATTATTCATAAAATTGATTGTACATGTGTAACAACAATTATCAAAGTATTGCAAGTGATACAAAAGTCCTCTACCGGTTAGAACCCCAGCAACATTCTGAAGGGCTACTGGCCATTCTATTATATATTGAGGAAGACATGGATGAACTTAAATCTCTCGAGTTCTTAGTTTCTCTGTATCATAATAATGTTGCAGCTTCCATGCCTAGTAAGGAAATTATCATATCTATTATACAATAGATAATCGAAAGATCCAATTTTCTCAGGATGAATACATATATATGTGTAACTTATGTAATCTAACTTTTCTCTAGCGTGTGTCTAGGGTAAGAGTATTTAAGAATCTGGGTTCTGTATATGTTAACGCATTCATCTATAAATTTAAAGCAAGAATGACATGGAAATATTAACACAAGCTCTGTTTTGAATATGTATAGAAAATTTAAAACTATTTTTGAATATGAAAACTACTAAGACTTGTTATCAAAAAATATAATAGAAATAAAACGAAATAAATAAATCAATAAAAATAAAAAATAAAATAAATCAATAAAAAATAAAATAAATCAATAAAAAATAAATAAATACAAAATATTTATTTTGTAACAGTTAAAGTAAGCTGTATACAATGCAAAAGCGCCTTGGATTAAACAAATATCATTCATAGATCAAAAGTTGTATTTTAACTCGAAATTTAATTTCATTTATCTGACATATGAATTCATGAATTTATATCAAAACAATACAAGTCATTGTTCGGTTTTAGTAGGTATAAATAAGACAATGCATGTTCTTTAAAGACACTTGGTTATCTAATGTCCAAAATTTGACAATAAAAGCGAGTAGAATATTTTAGTGTTCACGTTTCCGATCTGCTTAAAAAGAGGGCAAGAAAAGGACAAACAAGTTTAGTTTTAATGAAAATATCATGAAAGGAACTAAAAAACGAATCTGTTATAGTTTTAATTACTTTACATTTATAGAAAGACTGTTGAAGTGTCTGTCAACGTTAAGAATTAAAGGAACACATTCTGTATTAACGCTGACTGGTTTGCATGGATTTATCACTGTTTAACGATATCATTAAAAAAGAAAATTGCATTAAAATAACGGAAACATGCACCAAATTTAATTTGACTGTATGACGTGAACGGGCTGTAGTATTAATGTCACTCATACCTAATTACACTGACATTTCATACAATCAACAATCTGTTTAAATCGTATAGTAAATGTTATCATTAAACAAAAAACTATCCAAACAAAACGAAAAATAAGGTTAAATTTTAATACGGAACGTTAAAATATACGATATAATTTTAAATAAAGATAGGTTTTGTATATTGCTATAATGTTGGCACCTGGAATTAAAGAGTTTATAAGTTGATTATACACCCTCGACGTTCTTACCAGTTTCTTTTACGTGTAATTCCCTTTTACAAACAAAACACACCACATCCATAAAACAAACAAAATGCACCACATCTATAAAACAAACATAATACAACACATCTATAAAACAAACATAATACAACACATCTATAAAACAAACATAATACAACACATCTATAAAACAAACATAATACAACACATCTATAAAACAAACATAATACAACACATCTATAAAACAAACATAATACAACACATCTATAAAACAAACATAATACAACACATCTATAAAGCGAACATAATACAACACATCTATAAAACAAGCATAATATAACAGAACTTATCAGTTTGTTAACCTGTAAACACCCGGTTTAATTAGTTTGTTTACCCATAAACACCCGGTATTGTCAGAGGATTCATCAGTGAACGTCCGGCATTACCAGTGGGTAAACCTATAAACACTCGGTATTATCAGCTGGTTCGCCTATAAACACCCGATATTATCGGTTGGTTCACCTATAAACACTCTTTATTTTAAATGGGTTTACTTATAAACACTAGGTATTATCAATGGGTTCACCTATAAACATCCAACATTATCAGTTCGATCACCTATTTACACCCGGTATTACCAGTGGGTTCGCCAATAAACACTCGGTATAATCTTCTGCTCAACAAATAAACACATGTATTATCAGCGGGTTAGTGTGTTCTCTTATAAAACACATGTATTATCAACGAATTCACCTATAAACACTCAGTATTATCAGCTGGTTCACCTAAACACCCGACATTATCAGTTGGTTCACCTATAGACACTCGGTATTTTCAAGGGGTTCACCTATAAACACCCGGTATAATCAACGGATTCACCTAAAAACACTCGTTATTTTCAATGGGTTCACTAACAAACACTAGGTATTATCAATTGGTTAACCTATAAACATCCGGTGTGATCAGCTGATTCACTAATAAACACCCGGTATTACCAGTGGATTCACATATAAACACCCGGTAATATCATCTGGTTCATCTATAAACACCCGGTAGTATCAACTGGTTCTCGTATAAACACTCGGTATTATCAGCTGATTCACTAATAAACACCCGGTATTACCAGTGGATTCACCTATAAACACCCGGTATTACCAGTGAGTTCACCTATAAACACCCGGTATTACCATCTGGTTCAACTATTAACACCCGGTTTTATCATCTGGTTCACATTTAAATACTCGGTATTATCAACTGGTTCTCGTATAAACACTAGGTATTATCAGCTGATTCACCAATAAATACCCGGTATTACCAGTGGATTCACCAATAAACACCCGGTATTACCAGTGGGTTCACCTATAAACACCCGGTATTATCATCTGCTTAACAAATAAACACATGTATTATCAGCGGGTAGTGTGTTCTCCTATAACTTTACCTGTATTATCAACGGATTCACCAATAAACACCCGATATTTTCAGCTGGTTCATCTATAAACACCCGGTATTATCCGTGGTTTTACTATAAAAAACCAGTATTAGCAGCAGGTTAGTTTGTTCACTTATTAAACACCCGGTATTATCAGCTGGTTCACCTATAAACAATCGGTAATATCAGCGGGTTAGTGTGTTCTCCCATGAAACACCCGGTATTATCAACGGATTCACCTATTAACACCCGGTATTACCAGTGTGTTCTCCTATAAACACCCGACATTATCAGTGGGATCACCTATAATCACCACGTATTAGCAAAGGGTCAGTGTATTATCATATAAAACACCCGGTATTATCAACGAGTTCGTTAATTTTAGTAGATTCACCTATAAACACTCTGTATTATCAGGGTGTTCACATATAAACACCCGGTATTATCAGCTGGTTCTGTTTTTAACTTTGGTTCACAAATATGGGACATAAAGCCCTTGATATTGAAGCAATACATACAAAAATTTTAAGACAGGTTCTTTGCGAAATAGGTCAACTGATCTATGTGAGTATGTGGTAAGTTGTGGTATGTTCGAATCCCAAATTATTCAGAAAATGATTATGTCACGGTATTGAACTGTTTACCAATCAGGGGAGGTAGTTTGTAAGCTACCAAATAGCTCAGTCAGGAGAAACGCAGCACGGTATTTCGAGGCTCCCAGGTTCGAGTCTCGGTCAGGCTGCACCTCGCCCTGTGACAATTATAGACTTTAAAAAATGGAGGAGTTTCAATCATTACTCACGGAGAAATTGTTTTTAGTGAGTAAAGGGATCAATTGGGAGGAAACTTTTTTAGGGAAACCTGATGACTCCTACAATGCAGAATTACGGACCGAAATGCAAGTTTTGTATTACTTTGAAAATTGTACATCATACATTTGTATCTCTAATTAGTGTTGTACGACTAAATCCTACCGTCTGTTGAGGCCTTTAGACAGTCACGGTGTCAGTTACGTTTGGAATTGCCTGTTTGATATAGATATTCCGTTTGAAGAGAATTAGTTAAGAGTAATTGACACTAACAAACAAAATTGCTACTGTGTATTAAATGAAGTCGCCTACACATTTTTGCAATTCGTATCAAATTGAGGACGAAATATTATTTCCTGTCGGTTTGCCCTTACTATAGAGATATATTAAGATTAAAATATTTGCCAAGATAGTATTGCCATTGGCAATTACAAAGTTTGAAACTATTTAACATCTATTCTATAAAAAAAGATCCAAAATTAATCAAAAATCATATACTTTGCTTTTAAAAGAAGAGGTAATTTACATTTTTCTCCTTAACTGAGATTTAATCCTTATTTGTGTATTTCATCGCAAAGAAATATCAAATCAAGATATATATATTTTGCATATATTATCACAATCATATAACCTATCAAGACTGATATATTCTGCATTTAAAAGACGAGGCAAAAAACGTTTTTTTCTATGACCGTTTATTAACTAGTCTCTCATTTGATATTTCATATTTTGTTACAAACCAAAAATGTTACATTATAATTATAGTTATATATAACAAACATCCATCCACTAACAAATTTGGTAACATTTTGTTTTTGCATATTGTTGCTACTGACAATGTTACCTGTCTATATTTTATGTTAGAAAACGTTGTATAATGTTTAAAGCAAATAAACTGTATTGTATTAATAGAGTACCAATATATTTTAGAGAAATTCGCCAAATATGTTACATAAAATAAACGTACCATAAATATAAATACTGCATCTGCTATTGCTGCAGTACGTTACCAACCACCTAGAATTTATGTTATCTATGAAAGATGAATTTTGTTATACTATGTAAGTGATATTAGAGTTAAATCATGTAATGAACATCTGTTCGAAATGAAATGCCCAGATAAATCGTCTATCATCACATTTATTCACATTATCAATAGTTTAACACTTTCAATGTCCATTCATTCCGACATTAAATAACATTAAATAATTTGAGTTATTTTCATGAAATCTAATCGATATAATCAATATTCAAAATGTTACTAGAACTAGTAAAATGTAGAATAGTCAATGCAAAATATTAGATCCATTTGCCCTTATTATTTAATATAGATTGATAACATTATTAAATACATCATATTACTAAACCATAAAAATTGAATAAAGTTTTTACTTAAACTTTTATGAAATTATTAGTTATTTCCTCCCTTGAAAACACGTTAATGTTTCTGTGTTGAACTCTAATACACAACCCTTCAATAAATATATTCACAATAATATAATCACATTATTAAACAAGAGCACCACAGGTGGTGTTATCGCTCATCTATTAAGTGTAACAACTATCATTAACACTCAATAAAACTTGCCTCCTAAGTTTCTTAACTTTAAAGTCATTCTACCTGACGTATAAAGGGGCATAACTCTGAAAATATAGCTCTTGGATGTATGAACTTTTGTCTTAGACATGCACATTGTCATTAAAAGCAAGTATTCTAAGTTTTTTTTTTTCAATGCTTGAAGGAAGACAGCAAAAAAAAACGCAGTGATCATACAGAGCAGTTCGAGCTATTACAAAACAACTGCCAATATTAATATTTGTTGTTCACTAATTACAGATACACTTTGTTATGTTATGTTAATTTTTTGCTTGCTTAACAATTGAAACTGAGCATAGGCTATTATATAGAGTTTTATCAACCTGGACAGTACAATAAAATATGCCGCGGGATTTTAACGTCTTTCATAAGTGATTATATATTCAGGATAACACAATGTACTGTCATACACAACAAATTCTCGGAACAACTTTCCATTGTCTCCAATAACCGAGTGAAACAAATGACCGTATTTATGTGCAGCATGTTTGTCATCTTTGCAGTCATCTTTATAGCAAGATGTACACGGCGGTCGTCGGTATTTGTGAGGATTTTGGTCCGTGCAAATGTAACTGTTCCCTAGGATCATTCTCATTAGAAACATTTTCTTATGTTGACCTTGACCTGCTGTCCTGGTGGCTTTGTCATCTAAAATAATCATAAAATATATGTTAATGTACAAGTGTTCAAACAAACAATGGCATAGCTGTCTCCAAGAACACTACACTAATAAACCGATTGTCTGATGTAACTTTAAATTTTGTAGTGTTTTACTCCAGACGATGCACAGCCAATCATTAAAGTATAATTATGCCCCAGAAATATACATGGTTATTCTTATCAAATCCTGTCTAAAACGTCTTGTAAGTTTTTTCAATGAAAATGTTTATTTTAACAAATTTACATATGCACTGTATAAGATATATTTGACATGGTAGTTTTTTGTTTAAATGTTCTTTACCTGCATATTGATCAGCTTTAATAGAAGTCTCTGCACCATAAATTCCAGCACCAAGCATTGCTCGTCCGCTACCTAGTCTATGATCAAATCCACTTGAGCAAATTGTTCCGACATTGTCTTTTTTGGTACCATGGAAAAGTAGAACTTCATTTATTTCTGTGTGTAAGTCTTTATCTAAAGATGAGTTAAGAAACCGACATGTCTGAATTGGCCCTGTACAATTTGGAATGTCTTTAACCCTTGGAAACCGAACAATGCCTTCTTTCCCTAACTTCAAAAACATTTTTTGCCTTGTGGAGGTGAACTTATCGTACAGCTCTAAATTTTCTATTCTTTGTATCTTAAGGACATGGAGTTGTGAGTACCCAAGCTGACCGAGACCTTGTGCATCTAGACCTTTACCTAAATTAGTGGCGTCAAATGTGGAATTTATCATAGAAACAATCGTGTTGAATTCTTGACTTTTGCTGTTAAGTTGAATCTTTTCGTAGTTTCTACCAGTGACAGTTTGCTTAAATGATGTCAATATGGACTTCAAAGAAACATCTGATTTGTAATTTGACCAATACGAAGGAACTTCGGGTTCTTCTTCTACCATTAACTGAACAAACTCTTTAGTTTCCCTTCTAGTATTTTCTTTACGCCTTCTTCTCTTTTCTGTTATGTCCTTCTCCCCCAGCAGAACTTCCAATATATCCATTCGAGCCCTAGTCACGCTCTCTTTATGACCTTTTAACGTATACCCCTGCCTTCCTTTAAATAGAAATATAAAAACTGACAAAATATCAAAAATTAAAATACATCATTTTGTTTGAAATCATTGCCTTGTTTCATAATCATTTTCAAACTAAAATTTATCTTTATTTCAGGTTTTGCTGAATGCATTATATACATGTATATGCTCTTTTATTTCTTCCATTTAAACATTAAAACAAAGTGAGATGTTACAAAAGTTGCAAAACGATTATTTTACTCACCTTTAATCGATTCGATATTATGTTTTTCAATTATTGCTATAATTTTCGCTTTAGCCTGGTCAGATATTTTCTGTCTTTTACCAATAACATCTTCGTGCAAGAATTCATCTCTGATTTTTTTGCTGAGATTATTTCTTGACTGTATACACGTGTCTTTATCCGCTGCTACGACAACAACACAAAGGTTTGGAGCTGGCTTTCTTTCCGAGAAACGATGACGTGGAGGTCTCTTCTCTTTTGCCACTCGCGTTTGACTATTTTCCTCCCTTAGTCCTGCTATAAAAGCAAGATATGTAAACTGATCATGATAAACAGGTTAATTTCTATTATAAATTCAATTAGGTTCGGATAAGATTATACAATTAAAGAATGTTTACTCGCTAATTAAAGAATATCTTTGACGGTAGACAAATAGAAATAGATACAAAAATGATGTTATAATAATATCAACGATATGTTATAAGTATACATGTATATCATAAATGATGTAAAACTATACCTTCTTCAACTCTATAATTTCCATGTCGTGATCCTCTTCCCCGAGAAGAATGATTTGTGCTATCAGAAGATCTGTTGATCTTATGGCTCAGTTGATGATGTGCTGTGGTGGTATAGCAGTGGCTGGTGTGCGCACTGGCCGATTAACACCCATGCGATGTACTTTTTGTGCAGTTGACAGACCAGGCTGTTGCCTTTGTTGCCGCATAAGGTTTTGTCGGACATTTATTCCAAATGGATCCTGTGCATAATGAGGTCTTGCTTGAACAGCAGAATTCATCCTTACATTATGTTCATCAAATGACTTGAAAGCTTTCTCAAACACAGCATATGTCGGATCATCGTAGATAACTATTGTTACTTGCTAAAACAGACAATATAACATAATGAACAGCTTACACCGGCTATAAAATCAACTGTGTCTTAATATAAATTAAGGACAGACTACTAGAGTGGGACATATGACGTTTTTTTTTAAGTTCAATGACAATTATTCTTAAAAGTTACGCCATCTGTTTTACACTATTGTAAGTACTATATGTTAACAATTTGAAGTTTTAATTAATATGTCTATCATCGTGTTAATGATGTAGATGTTGAACATGGGCAAGTGTTAAAAGATTGAAGTATATTTTAAGATTATAATGATTAAAGGGTAAACACATAATAAGTATAATGTATATAAATGTTCATAAAGTAGGTGATTCTTATGTATGAAGTGGTACATTTATAAATAATGATCATATCAGTTTGGGTGAAGAAAACAAACTACATTTGCAAATGTGAAGTTAATACTTCAATAATGGACCACTGTGTGGTTCATATCGCAGAATATATTGCCCCTAATGCCGCGGCCCTAATCGCACAGGGCTTGAATCATAACAGGAAACATGCAATATTTATTTGACAAAGGTATCTTGGTAGGCTTTCGAAAGATGCTATTCCTACCGAGGAGAAATGATAGGAAACTTTTCCACAATACAATAGATGTTTGTTAAACATACATGTCCTGGCATTTATGGCAAACAATTATTCATAATACATGGATCGTGGTGAAGATCAACGTGACCTCGATATTTGACATACTGATATTAAAAACATTAGGATTGATGTGCTTGCAATGGCAAGCCTCACTATAAAATCTCATGACCGTGCGCCAGTTACTGATCGGACAAGGTTTTGATAACGTACAGACGGACAGACACACGTCATATCTAAAACAGTTCATCCCCGCTTCTGTGAAAGGTAACATAAGATACACCTTTTTGTATTAAGATGTGCTGAACTAAAATGTTTAATGTAAGAATATAAATAATATACACTAACATAGAGTGAAGCTCGGTTGTTCTGTATAGTTAAGTAGATCTCTGACAGCATTCTATCAGCTACAATATCAGCTGGATATTTATACATCCTGCCAACACCTAGCGGAGGAAACATCACGCTGTTATAACCGTTTGCTTGACATTCTTGCAGGACCCCCTGTATTGTTTCTTGAATCACCTACAAACAAATCATATTTTAGTTGTACCAGTCTTTCCTTCATTTACAAACAATTCTAATTTAACATGTTTGTATCTTAGAAGTGTTCTTATTTTGTATCGTGAAAATATCGCGAGGACAAAAAAAGTGTCCAACAAGAAACATGGCAATGCCATGAAACCAGGTTTTCAATTATCACCATTGTAGATAAATATGTTGTATTTGAATTAAATACAAATACAAGCAACAAACAATGTAACTATGTGCAATGTAAAACATGAATAATGTAGGAGGAATTACCACAGAAGAAGTGTTCACTATAATTATATTCTGATAAGGAAAAAAAAACAAAGGGCCATAATTAAATAAAAAATTATTCAATCACAAAACCACAACAATATGTGCCAAGGCACTGGATGACAAAGCTTCTGTGAAAGTTTGAACAAAATCCGTTGAGAAATGTAGGAGTTCAGCACAGAAGAATTTTTCACTATATATTCTGTATAAGGAAAAAAACAAAGGGCCATTATTAGGTCAAATATCACCCAATCACAAAACCCTGATAATGTGCGCCAGGGCACTTGATAACAAAGCTTCTGTGAAAGTTTGGTCAAAATCTGTTGAGAAATGTAGGAGAAGTTGCGCATGGTAAAAATTGTTCACTATATAATCTGTATAAGGAAAAAAAACAAAGGGCCATAATTAGGTCAAATATTATACAATCACAAAACCCTGACAATATGCCCCAAGGCACTTGATCACAAAACCTCTGTGAAAGTTTGGTCAAATTCCGTTGAGAAATGTAGGTGGAGTTGTGCACAGAAAATTGTTCACTATAATTATATCCTATATTGGGAAAAAACAAAGGGCCATAATTAGGTCAAATATTATACAATCACAAAACCCTGACAATATGCCCCAAGGCACTTGATCACAAAACCTCTGTGAAAGTTTGGTCAAAATCCATTGAGAAATGTAGGAGAAGTTGGGCACAGAAAAAATTATTCACTATATATTCTATATAAGGAAAAAATACAAAGGGCCATAATTAGGTCAAATATTATCCAATCACAAAACCCCGACAATATGCGCCAGGTCACTTGATGACAAAGCTTCTGTAAAAGTTTGGTCAAAATCCGTTGAAAAATGTAGGAGGAGTTGCGCACAGAAGAAATTGTTTACGCCCGCCCATCCGCCCGCCCGCCGACATACCTCAATCTAATAACCAGTTTTTTCCTTCGGAAAACCTGGTTAATAAGTCTCATTTCCATATTACCACGATGCGTTTCATACACAGTGTTAAGTATTAAACTCAACATAAATACCGGACAATTCCGTTCACAATATCAAAATACATACTTAAAAACATTCTAAACATAAAAGAAGTTTTACATTCATAAATTACATATTTTCTTAAAGCAGTATAAGCTTTCCATATAAAAATCGTTCTCAAAAGCATGCAGCTAAACTTCTGAAAAATCGATGTCAATACAACATTGAAATATATATCAGATATCATTGGATATATTTTGTATAATAGCTGAAGGCCCATTTGTTAAATATGTAGCGAATAATTATAAAATGATGATTATATACCTGTTGACAATGCATTTCTCCCTTTCGGAGGACGACATGCATGACTGATTTACATTTCAGCCTTCCACAACTTCTCGTCGTAACCACGCTGCCATTTGCACTAAGTCTAGCGGCATCGTATAACTACAACATAGATATAAACACAATTTGACTCATCAGGAAATAAAATATTTTTATTTACATTCATATATACATTATACATTATTTGAACAGTATCTTTTAGTCCGTTTTCTTCGTTTTTTTTGTCATTTTCTTTTTTTGTCATTTTCGTAACTGGTTTAGACATAAAGTCAAGCGCGCGTCTCTCAACCACGCCGAGCAAAACTGAAGTTCCTTTCTTAATCGTCTATGTTTAATTCGTTTAAAAGTAAAATGAGTACTTTTTGTTAAAATGATAATTTTATAATGAGATGAGGTGAATTTATATGTCATGTTATCCTGTGAAAATACACTTACATGGCATGTAATTAAACGTATGCTTAACTAATCAAATGATTACTCAAGATATTTTACATCATTCTTAAAACAAAGATGCACTAATAATTGGGTGAATATTAAATATGACGCCTTAATTATCTGTTGAAATAAATTTATGTTTATACTCAGTGTGAATGAATGTAATTATGGAAATCCCTGAAGCTAACACAGGGACTTCTTCGCGTGATAAAATGCAAAGTTCTAGCACAAAAATGTTAATTCAATCATGAACTTTTAGAGATGGGTGGTCAAAACAAGTTTTAAACAAACAACATGAATATTTAGATGCTAATGGGCAATCTAACTAGTAATTATTTTTCCTGTTTTTAATATAACACATTACTAATATTACGGTTGTCCTATTGCTCTTTATTACATGTATATATATATATTATAAAACAGTAGAGTATTACCTGAATAAGTTCTTGACCAGCCCTTTTAACGAAAGCTTTAGACACAATACTTTCTGTTAAACTATGTGACTGTGACACTATATTGACGAGTACGTCAGCCTGTAGAAACGTTTATAATACAATGTTGAGTAAATAGCTAAATAATTTGAGCTGTGTCACGACAAAACCGACATAGTGCGTTTGCGACCAGCATAGATCCAGACCAGCCTGCGCATTCGCCCAGTCTGATCAGGATCCATGATGTTCGCTTACCAACCCTATTACAAGTGGAGAAACTGATGGCGAACAGCATGACAGCATGGATCCTGATCAGACTGCGCGGATGCGCAGGCTGGTCTTGACCTATGCTGGTCACAAACACACTATGTTGGTTTTGTCGTGACGCGGCTCATTTGATTCTCAATTTTCATAAATATGTCAATTATTAATACAGTTTTATAAAGCATATCATGAAATCATTCTATTGATTCGTGTTAACATTTTAATCATTTGGACATCGGTAGATAACATGTTTTGCAAAAATTCGACGCAATGAAATAAAAACAAATTGTATTATACAGCAATTACTAGCTATATGATTAGCACTAGATCGCCATGGCATACAACATTAACCTTAATAGATTTAGCTGCTGGCATAGTGTCTGATTGTCATTTATTGACTTTATCTTAAAACAGTTAAATAATTTACATACCAAAACCTTTTATATCTACTGTTACTACAAAAGTGTATAGTTTCTTACTGTTTGTCTCACTATCTCGCCTTTTAGAAGTGTAACATTCGTCCGCATCATTCTGATACTCTCTGATTTTACTACGGGAATCGGTGCCGTGGGCAAATGTCTCCGGAAATCAGGAGATGAGACTGATCTATGCATCTGATTTACATAAGGTCTCCTTCCGGTACGTCTGTGATTAGATGCCCCCCTGTCATTTGGTCTTTGTAGGAATAAAATATCTTCGTTACTCTCAATTTCCTCAAAATCCTCGATGGTGGAAACACTATATAAATAACAATCAATTAGCAAGGCTAACTTTAAAATGTCTCGTTATATTTCTGTTTATTTATCTAAGACATTGATATTTCGGAATGATTTACCCAAACTCGTTCGGTCTGTATATAGCAACCAGCAGATAAGAAATTAATTAACATATTTCATTGTTTTGAAAATTTTATTGCTATCGATAACATGCAAATGAGCCATGTCACGACAAAACCAACATAATGGGTTTGCGACCAGCATGGATCCAGACCAGCCTGCGCATCCGCCCAGTCTGATCGGGATCCATGCTGTTCGCTTACCAACCAATTTACAGGTCGAGAAACTGATAGCGAACAGCATGGATCCTGATCAGACTGCGCGGATGTGCAGGCTGGTCTGGATCCATGCTGGTCGCAAACCCATTATGTTGGTTTTGTCGTGACGCGGCTCATATTATGTGATAGTAGTTACCTATCTTCCTCATTCAGTGACATTGCTCGAGCAAGTTCAAATGCTTCATCATCATCCTAGTAAATTAATGGAAGGGACAAAATATCAGAAAACAGATCATTATAGTGTCTTCAAACTGTGACATAATGTACACACTGGTGTAGTTTTATACATGTTATAGACCCTGGACATGCTCACAGTATGGATATCTGTCAACACACATACAGTGTAAAGTGTGCTGTGTAAAAATATATGTTAATCTACTTGGCATAAACGTAAACATTAACAAAGACCCGTGCATTAAATTGTTTGAGTAAAATTCTATGAGGTTTCTATACGCTACTAGAACCTAATCAACCTAGATGATCTAATTAGTGAAAAATATACTGATAATATTTCGTGATTTCTTATCACATTCTTAAAATGTTTTGTATAATAAATGATAATCTTGTATCATAGTTTGGGGACCTTTCTGTTGAAAATGTGTCACGAGTTAAATCGTCTACATGCACAGTGCGTTAACTGAAGTGCAGGTATCAGTTACCCGCACTCCAGAGTATGTCCATTGATTGGCTCATTTTTGCTGGGGTTTACTTATTGTGACGGCAGAGAAAGGGAAAGCGACAGAAATATCATATTCAGATGTTCGTTTATTGGTTCTTTTTAGCCGGGGTTTCATATTATGACAACGGGGAACGTGTTTTTATAATTAACTATGATACAAAAGAGAAAGAACATCAAAACACTCGGCAATCTGATTAATACTTGTGGGCTACGCCCCCTCATACAATTCAGATAGCCTCGTGTTTCGATGCTCTTTCTATTACATATACGCCAAGTGTAATATATGTAATATATAAACTGATTCGATTGTTCATCAGAGCTATTTTCCCTTTTTGTTAGCTTTATACATATTCATAGCAATTAAAAAAAATCTTCGCATATAATATGTAATTTATGCATATTACTAGTAATTAAAAAGAATTATGTGAAGCAATATTTTAATTAAACAGAATTAAGTGAAGAAAAATACAGAGACAAACCATTTCAAATTGATGTAAGTGACGATGATCCATTTCTGGTTGGCTAATATACTCATCAAAATTATGTGCATGGTCGTCCCATTCCGACCGGCGTTTAACATGTCCTGCTTGCGTTGAGGGTATTGGTGAACTTTCAACATCTGACTGAGTATTGTGATCGGAATCCTTTGATCTTATACTGAAACATTCAATTATGTTTAAACTACAATAATTTAGTTGTATAAATTGTACAGCAATCATTTCTTTTTTAAGGAAAGCACACTTAGAGAAATTTAAGTATATATACTAAGACAGGGTATATTGCATTCCATTAGTATATAAGGGAAACTAATACCTTGGTCTCGTGAAATTGATAACACCGTCATTTGAAACTTGTATAAAGCACTTGTGACTGCTTTCAAACTTAGAAAAGAAATCTTTTCCAGTTGGACCATCAAGTCCTTTCATGATAAGCCATTTGTCTTCAGCTGTTAAAAAGAATTTCAAAATAATAGAAAACATCGTGATAATGAATAATACTAAATAATAAGTTTATATTTGTTCTGTTAAAAAAATGAAAATAACTAGACGTATGACATTTTATCTATACATGTTTATGCACAAATAAAACAAGAGCTGTCGGTAGGACAGCATGCTCGACTATTCTTAGTGCTTGATAGTAAAAAAAATGCCTGATACAGTTACCTCCTCCTGTTTACAGGTTGGGGTCATGATGGTGAACAAGTGTGCAAAGTTTCAAAGCCATATGTCAATGGACTTTGAAAATATTTGAACTATTACAAAAACTTTAACGTAAATTCTAAGTCAAAAAAGGGGCATAATTCTGTCAAAATGCTTGATAGAGTTACCTCCTCCTGTTTACAGGTTGGGGTCATGATGTTGAACAAGTGTGCAAAGTTTCAAAGCCATATGTTCAATGGACTTTGAAAAATATTTGAACTATTACAAAACTTTAACGTAAATTCTAAGTCGAAAAAGGGGGCATAATTCTGTCAAAATGCTTAATAGAGTTACCTCCTGCTGTCTACAGGTTGGGGTCATGATGTTGAACAAGTGTGCAAAGTTTTCAAAGCCATATGTCTATGGACTTTGAAAATATTTGAACTATTACAAAAAACTTTAACGTAAATTCTAAGTCGAAAAAGGGGGCATAATTCTGTCAAAATGCTTGATAGAGTTACCTCCTCCTGTCTACAGGTTGGGGTCATGATGGTGAACAAGTGTGCAAAGTTTCAAAGCCATATGTCAATGGACTTTGAAAATATTTGAACTATTACAAAAACTTTAACATAAGTGGTTACGCCGACGCCGACGCTCGGGTGACTGCAATAGCTCTACTTATTCTTATCGAATAGTCGAGCTAAAAACAACTTTGAATCAGACAATCACCAAAGTTTGACATTATCCTACTAATAACAAAAGTGTAATTTTGACATCTGTTTAGAAATAATCAAATGATTTCAGACTATAACAGCCGAGGTAAGAAAACAAGAAACACATACGTTTATATGGCTAAAATGTCTGTATTGTAATTTAGTCTCATGACTTATTGTCCTGATGACATAAATTGAAGAACCAACCTTTTTCTGATATTTTACTGAAATCAATTCTTTCATGCCAGATTTGATTCACCATTTTTGTCAGCTCTGCAGTTAATGTCTGTTCACCTTCAACACAAACACGTATCTTAAATGGACTTCTACTCTGTACTTCAACATTTAATTTTCCCCGTGATTTTCTGTAATAAAAAGAATGAATAAAATCAGTGATTATATGTAAAAACTTGTTTTGGAAAGTGCACTGATAAATTGCCGTGTTTATGAAAACTAAAGTGTTAAAATACTGAAGATGAGTTAATTTGTTGTGAATATCATGTCATAAATACATAGCGAATATTTTACTTCTTATTGATACTTTATAGATGTAGGGCGTCCGTGACCGAGTGGTAAAGGTCGTTGACTTCAAACCACTTGCCCCTCACCGCTGTGAGTTCGAATCCCGACAGGGACTTTGGATTCTTTTATATGAGTAAGCTATCCAGCTAGCTTACGGAACGTCGGTGGTTCTACTCAGGTACCCGTTCGTGCCTCAAAATAATGCACGGAAGGGCACCTGAGGTCTTACTCCACCAGTTAAGCTGGAACGTCGCGATATGACCTATACTGTGTCGATGTGACGTAAAACCCAAAACAAACAAACAATAGATGTACTAACTCGACAACTCGTCTGAGACTATCCTCGAAGCATGATTTGAAGCATCTGGCTTTAGCTGTCTCTATAATGACATCCGATGTCTTCATAGGCACATTCTGTATCAGATATTTAACTATCTTTTTGAATATATCCTTAGATTTTGCTTCAATGATGCTTTCGATACATATTATATTCTTAGATGTATCGTCAATATAAATGGTAGATAAACCCGTGTCAAATTCACGAATAAATCTCTCCCAGTTGTCTCCTACAACAAGAGTGTCTTGTCCTTGGCGCAGCTGCACATTCGTCACAGTTATCTCATCTTTAATAAACTGTAAACCTTTCTCTGCCTCGTCAGCAGAAAACGCAAACGACAAGAGAACGGTGTTACCGACGTCAACAGAAAATGCTGCCTTGATCTTCTGTTTAATACATCTTGATCTGATGCATTTACGGCACTCATCTCGTGCTAAAAATTTACATTTCATACGAGGAAGTATTTCTTTGACACATACAACCTGATCGAGGCATTCGTACATTTTCAGTTTGGCTTGTCTTATATCATCTTCCGAATACCCTTTGATTATAACCTTTCCTTCATTTTCCTTAAATGTAACATCAACAGTTTCTGATTGTGTTTTAGACTGAAATTTGTAGATTATCAGCATATTAATCTTAGCAGGCGATAGTTGTATTTCCTCTTGGAAAGTCAAGGGCATCCGATTATCATTATGGTTAGATGCACGTGCCTTTCTACCATATTTACCGCCAGGCTTTCGGTTGCTTTCATTACCTTCATCTGATAATTGTCTAGAAACGTTCCGCACTACTGGCTTCACAGCAGCAATATTTACTGTTCTTTTATTTGAGCAACTAGTTTCGTCTTGTGTATCCTGACTGAACTGAGATGGCGGTTGCATATTCTCTTTGGTATCATTTATCGGTACATACTGTTCTCGTGGTTTGTTTGGGACATACGGTGATTGGTCTTCACCGTCGTCAGATATTATCCTGAGTCTGAATGCAGTGTTTGGTGTTTGTTTTCGTATACTTGTGGATTCACCATCATAACTTGATGTCAAGTTATCATCATAATTACGTTGGTCAGTGTTTATCCAATCTGAACTGACAGACCGTTTTGGAGTGGGTGATCTTTCTCTAAAGTTTTCACTATAATCCAAGTTACTGTTAACTTCAGCATCATTGTTGTCATGCAGGTTGTAACTAAAACTCGGTGGTTCTACCAGCTGTTGTGTTGTCAGTGTAGTTTCAACAGTTGTGGTGTCTTTTACAATAGGTTTACTTGCCTGATGCCTTCTTGAACCTTAAATTTATAATGTATTTACATATAGTTATTAGTGATAATACAAATGAAAAGTAAAGTTAACATTTTTTTTCTATATATTTCTATCCACATAAATTATTGCAGTATTAGTTCATCAGAAATCAATAATGGTATTTCAAAATAAAGAAATGTATATTTAAATCAAACCTTGGTCTTCTCTTTGATTTATACGAGCTGTAATATATCCATGTACAGTCTTATAGTAAGGGTGTACCTTCACTGATTCGTTTCTCAATTGATGCGACTGTTTTGATAGAATAGACTTTATAGCTGCAAAATACATACAAAATATATTTTTTTCTAAATTGTAACAACATTTTACATAAACACTACTATCAGAATTTTAATATCTGATTATTTAACTTTTGTTTCGAATGGTGGACATGTTATTATCGTTCATCAAACATGCAAATATTGGCAATTTTATTTAAAGGGACTCCACTGAGGTTTTTTGACATGACGGGACTGGAAATATTTTTTTGAGATTATTACTCTGTTTGATGTAGATCTATACTTATAACTTATGTGCAAAATGTCAGATCATTAGCTCGCTCCGTTTTTTCATAATACTTTTTATAATAGTGAAAAATGACCCAAAATTGAAAAGCGTTTAAACGCATTTCACTCAAATCGGACAGAGAATAGCACAAACATACACTTTTCAATGTATTTCTTGTATATTTCTTAGTTATATTTTATTTATATTTTTGCTTTAAGTGCTCATGTTGATCTATGTGAAAAAATAAAATTTCATGTATTAGCCTTATAAACCTCAGTGGAGTTCCTTTAATATCATTGTTTAAACAGATAATGACAAAAATCAGTAAATATCAACATCCTTAAACGAGTTGATCATGAATATGATGTTTTATATGAAATTCCAAAAAACATATCAATAGTAAAGTGCAAAAACTCGACCTACCATGTGTACTAGATATATCAACCATGGCGTATCTTGTAGAGTCTACATCAACAATTTGTACATTTTGAACAGTATCCTCTTCTCCCCCAGACTTTCTACTCTCAAAATACAAGCTAAGATACTCTTCATTTGTCGTAGACGGAACATTCGGTAAAAAGATTCCATCAGGCTCACAAAGTAGCTCTAAATTTAGGAAACATCCTTCAAAACGCCTCTTTGATGCTTTCTCTTGAAATCTTTCAATATCTTTAAATGTCGAATGAATTAAATATTCATTGAATTAATTATAATTAAAGAAGGTTGTAACGCAAGTTGTCAATATTTGGAAAGTAAGCATGCTGTATAGAAATATCAAAACAGTTTCTAATATATATCGTGGTTAAAACCATATTTGTTTAACTTTTTTGTTCAACCAAATTGAATTTGGTCATATATTAAGTGAATTTATGGAAACAACATATTAGCATAATGCACTTTGTTTTTTATGTTTTAAGATAAGAAAGTGTTGACAATAATTATGGTAGATATAAAACATCAGATAAAAAAAAGAGTAATATTTTCCTGGTCGCACACGCGCGCGCGCATGTACACGCACACAATAGCGATTTAGAATCTCTGGTACCTTATACTGACGTATGTACTTTTATTCAAAGATATAACTCAGTTTTAATTATATCTGACATAGTCTACTCTATTTTACTTACCATTTATGTTTGTTTTGGATATCGCTATGGCAACACCATACCCACGCAATGGGAAACATACATCCGTGAGTTCCTGTTCTGTGCATATTATCTCCAGATAGTTCTGTAAGTTTTCTTCTCGCACATTTTCTTGTATGTTCTTTATAAAAATGAATAAATTATAGTTGAAATCATTGTTAAATTATGTTCTTTCAACAAACAGGTTCATGAACAGTTTCTCATAAAAATAATGTCAGTGCAGTATTCATATAAAGTAAGTTACCTGAATAACTAAAGTTCTGCGTCCTTTAGGATCATCCCTGTAAACATCTAAAAGGACAGGATTCCACATCATGTCAAGTATATTATCTGTAATACAAATAAATAAAGTGGAATAAACATTCTTGAAATAGATCTACCTATCAGTTTTGTTTGTTTGTTTCATTTTACGCCTTTTCCCAACAGTATTTCAGTCATATAGGCAGGTAGTTTCCTGGAGGGTTACCAGTACTAGACTACAATCCTCCGCGCTTAACTACCAAAGCATCTCCCGGGGATCGAACCCACGCCAGAGAGGTAACTGGATTAGAAGTCATCGACTCTAACCCCTCGACCACGGAGGCGGCTTCTGCCTATAAGTAAGTTATTTCTATCTGACTTACAAATATGGCGACCCGTACCTGTTCCTTAACAGGATATACATAAACCCTTGTTGCAACACAAAATATCAGCTTATCATTGTTGTCGAAATAAATTATACATTAAAATTGTTGCCTAAAAAAATTATTCATGAAAACTTTGTTGTTTACAAAATTAAATCTCACCATTGTGGCATACACAAGATAAACATGCTAGGTGGTGTCTAAATAATATAAACATATACCTTGTTGCCTATACAAGTTTATGAACCTTGTTGCCTACACTAGTTTAACATGGACCTTGTTGCCTACACTAGTTTAACATGGACCTTGTTGCCTACACTAGTTTAACATGGACCTTGTTGCCTACACAAGTTTAACATGGACCTTGTTGCCTACACAAGTTTAACATGGACCTTGTTGCCTACACAAGTTTAACATGGACCTTTTTGCCTACACAAGTTTAACATGGACCTTTTTGCCTACACTAGTTTAACATGGACCTTGTTGCCTACACTAGTTTAACATGGACCTTGTTGCCTACACAAGTTTAACATGGACCTTTTTGCCTACACAAGTTTATGAACCTTGTTGCCTATACTAGTTTAACATGGACCTTGTTGCCTACACAAGTTTAACATGGACCTTTTTGCCTACACAAGTTTAACATGAACCTTGTTACGTACACAAGTTTAACATGGACCTTGTTGCCTACACAAGTTTATGAACCTTGTTGCCTACACTAGTTTAACATGGACCTTGTTGCCTACACAAGTTTAACATGGAACTTTTTGCCTACACAAGTTTAACATGAACCTTGTTACGTACACAAGTTTAACATGGACCTTGTTGCCTACACAAGTTTAACAAGTTACATGCACCTTGTTGTCTATAAAACAGAAATATGCACCTTATTCTCTACATAGGATAAGCATGCACCTTCTTTCCTATTCAAGATAACATGAACCTTGTTGACTACCTACACAAGTTGAACATGAACCTTGTTGCCTACCTACACAAGTTTAACATGAACCTTGTTGCCTTCACAAGTTTAAAACGGACCTTGTTGCCTACACAAGTTTAACATTGACCTTGTTGCCTAAACAAGTTTAACATGAACCGTGTTGCCTACACAAGTTGAATATGAACATTGTTGCCTAAACAAGATAAACATGAACTTTGTTTTCTACACAAGTTAAACATATACCTTGTTGTCTATACAACCGAAATATGCACCTTGTTCTCTACATAGGATAAACATGAACCTTCTAAACTATTCAAGATAACATGAACCTTGTTGCCTACACAAATTTAAATGATCCTTGTTGCCTACACAAGTTTAACATGAACCTTGTTGCCTACACAAGTTTATCATGAACATTGATGCCTACACAAGTTTATTACGGACCATGTTGTCTACACAAGTTTAACATGAACTTTGTTGCCTACACAAGTTAAACATGAACCTTGTTGCCTACACAAGTTAAACATGAACCTTGTTGCCTACACAAGTTAAACATGAACCTTGTTGCCTTCACAAGTTAAACATATACCTTGTTGCCTACACAAGTTTAACATAGACCTTGCTGCCTACACAAATTAAACATGGACCTGTTGCATACACAAGTTAAACATATACCTTGTTGCCTACACAAGTTTTACATAAACCTTGTTGCCTACACAAGTTTAACATGAACTTTGTTGCCTACACAAGTTTAACATGGACCTTGTTGCCTACACAAGTTAATTATCAACCTTGTTGCCTACACAAGTTAAACATCAACTGTGTTGCCTACACAAGTGAAACATCAACCTTGTTGCCTACACATGTTAAACATGGACATTGTTGCCTACACAAGTTTAACATCAACCTTGTTGCCTACACAAGTTTAACATCAACCTTGTTGCCTACACAAGTTTAACATCAACCTTGTTGCCTACAAAAGTTTTAACATCAACCTTGTTGCCTACACAAGTTTAACATCAACCTTGTTGCCTACAAAAGTTTAACATGGACCTTGTTGCCTACACAAGTTTAACATCAACCTTGTTGCCTACAAAAGTTTAACATCAACCTTGTTGCATACACAAGTTTAACATCAACCTTGTTGCCTACACAAGTTTAACATCAACCTTGTTGCCTACAAAAGTTTAACATGGACCTTGTTGCCTACACAAGTTTAACATAGACCTTGCTGCCTACACAAATTAAACATGGACCTTGTTGCCTACACAATTAAACATATACCTTGTTGCCTACACAAGTTTAACATCAACCTTGTTGCCTACACAAGTTTAACATGAACTTTGTTGCCTACACAAGTTTAACATGGACCTTGTTGCCTACACAAAGTTAAACATCAACCTTGTTGCCTACACAAGTTAAACATCAACCGTGTTGCCTACACAAGTGAAAACATCAACCTTGTTGCCTACACATGTTAAACATGGACATTGTTGCCTACACAAGTTTAACATCAACCTTGTTGCCTACACAAGTTTAACATCAACCTTGTTGCCTACACAAGTTTAACATCAACCTTGTTGCCTACACAAGTTTAACATGGACCTTGTTGCCTACACAAGTTTAACATGAACCTTGTTGCCTACACAAGTTTAACATCAACCTTGTTGCCTACACAGGCTTAACATCAACCTTGTTGCCCACAAAAGTTTAACATAAACCTTGTTGTCTACAAAAGATTTAAATGAACCTTGTTGTCTACAAAAGATTTATATGAACCTTGTTGCCTACACAAGATTTAACATGAACCTTGTTGCCTACACAAGATTTACATGAACTTTGTTACTTCCACAAGATTAACATGTACGTTGTTGCCAGTACACAAGATATACATTAACCTTGTTGTCTAAACAAAATGTACATGAGCTATGTTGTTTTCACAAGATATAGGCCTATGTAGTGTCACGACATAAACGAACTCTTGTGTTCTATACATCACAGGAACTTGCAATTTAATCATTACATCACAAAATATAAATATTATATACTTATATTAGTGATATATAGCCCGTATCTAAAAAAAAAGACATACGGGCTATATCACTAACATAAGTAGAATCTATATTTTGTGATGTATTGATTAAATTTCAAGTTCCTGTGTATACATACATGTACCGTACTTGTCTTTTCAAAATGTTCACCTTGAAAAATCAATGAACCTATAACACCTTATACAGTTAGCGGTTTACCACAATTCACGATCCACCCTATACGTAAATCAAATCCATTTCAATAAGTAATAAAAACAAAAGTGTAAACTATACCTGCAAACTAGGCTAAAATGGAAATTCCCCTCTCTTCACACGTAGAATTCACTGAACATTGACAGAAGATAATACAAAGCACATCTTGCTGTTCTGTGTCTACTTGTATGTGATAATATATTCCTTATAAATCATTTCATAATCAAAAGTCATTATTTACATCAAATACAACCATAAATTTACGATCCGTGTAGATCGACAACGCAGATTATAGAAATTGGATTTTCCGAAAATCGTGTGTACACATACAGCAGTAGTGTACTTTCGTTTTAAACGCCCTAAATGACAGACATCACAGTATATAATGTGTTACTGAACTTTGTATTTTGTGAGGTTGAATTGTATTATATTGCTCAATACCGTTCAATGGCGAAGCTACCATGACTGCTAAACCAATTTTGGCTGGTATGTTCTATTTCCTAATTTAAGATATTACAAAGAATTTCAAGTTTATAAATATTCATTACTGTGTAGTACGAACGTAACGTGGAGTTATGGGTAATAAAACATTCATTGGACCGTTTATGTGTTGTATGTTTTCTACATAGATTTGAACAACTAGGTGTTTAGGGTATATGTACAATGGAAAGTCAGTTATATGTGAATGGCATGTTAAAAAAATAAATCAAATCAAGAAACAACACCCCCCCACACACACACGCACACACGCGCACACAAACCAACAACCCAAATAAACCTCGCCGATGACTTCTCTTTAAAATAGTATTACGGACTACTCACCGGACGTCGTGAAAACGGACAGTTTTCTTTCATTTGTATCAAAGTTTTTCTCTATTTTGGACCAGTTTATACAATGTTAATTTTAATGCACCAGAAGGTGTTTTTATTTTACTTTTCTAATTTTACTTTTTTTTATTTTACTTTTTATTTATTTATTTTTTCCCCACCTATTTGGGGTGGGTGACCGGGGAATCCCGCACTCTCTCCCTATTGCGTAAATATTTCAAAAGCCTGGATATACACCCGCTTTTAAACTGTACATGATATAAATTATGTAAATTTAATTATAATTTTGGATTTTCTTGTAAACTATAAACAGTATTTATTAAAATTGTTAACTATTATTAAAACATAATAAATCAATACCTTGTTGAATTGCTTGGTAATGTTAACAATTTCTACTGTTGTGTAGAATGTACGAGGTGTAACTTACATTGTACCTGATCAGTTATGTCGAACACGATAGTAACGTTTAAATACAGTTCGGTTGTACGTATAGGATATCGACCGAGTACGACGAACTCTGTTTATAGCCCGGTCACATATTCACGGAATATGCCCACGGAAGAGCCACGGATTAATTCCAGCATCGTCCGTAGCTACCCGTACTGGTCAGTAGCTGATCTCCGTATTGTAACCGTAATCAACCGTAGTAGTCCTGGTATATCCGATCCTTGACAATTTTTGAACAT